CCCCTCTCTCCCCTCCCCCGATATGTATATCTACATCTACGGAGCGGAGCGAAGCTGAAGTATCTCTCGACCGAACGAGGCTGCATTGCATGAAGCGAGGCGAGAGCGCGCCTTTCACCCAGTGACCTGGTAACGGGGGAGATATGAACGGGATTGGGAAGGGGATGGGGGGGTTATGGCATGCATGGCGGCAGGGTGAGGAGCCTCTGGGGATTCTTTTACGGTCCCGGCGCTTAGCTCCGGCATCGGAGAGTGAGTGAGCGAGAGAAAGAGAGAGGTAGAGGGTAGGGGATACAGATAGAGAGAGACGGAGAGAGTGACATAGCGAGTGTCGTTTCGCTCCACTCCGCGGCCCTCATTGGAGCCCCGCTCGGCGTAAAGGTCACAGCTGGGGTTACGCAGCAGGGACTGCCCTTAGGGGCCCCAGTCAGGGTGCGCCCTAAGGGCGAGGGTGCCGGCCACCATACGGGGTGCCCTTATACATTAAGGGAGCGCGAGCGACGGTGCCCTTAGGGGTTGGCGCCGTGCATGGGCTGCCCTTAGGGACGCCGCCGCCACACCACGGCGCACAGTTGCGGTGTCGAGGGGCGCCACCGAACGCCACGACGGCGAGGTGGTTGGTGTGCTTTATGATGGGGACGGAGGGGAATGCTCATTACAGGGGATTAGCGCCAAATCCCCGCCTCTTATAACTAATACCGCGGCAATTTATGAGCTGCTCTCCGTTCTCTCTTGGAGATAAAGAGCGAGAGGGGCGCGGGCAGGGAGCGAGAGGGAGGGAGTGAGAGAGAGAGAGAGAGAGAGGGGAAGGGGGCGGGCTCGCGGCCACCACTCTCAATTAAAGATGGCATTTCCGAGGGAAGCCTCGCGAGGCAGCGCGGGGCGGAGGGAGGGGGAGAGGGGATGAAATAAAGCATGGTCCGTAAATATTACGATCCTTCAGGCCGAACGGGGACGCGGCGCGGCACGGCGCGCATCCCGGGGGCCATGAATGCGCGCGTTACGCCCGTCGAAAAATAAAATGGAAACGGCGGGCAAAACAGTTGAAGCAGACGGGAGTAGCGAGTACCGCGCCGCCGCTCGTCTGCAGCAGAGCGAAGGGAAAGGGCGATTCAGTCGGAGGGTCGTCCAAATAACGCGCAGCTTCGAAGAGCGAGGCGCGCCGCAAGCGACGACAAGACGCGAGGTTCCTGGAGGGTGGGGCAAGCCTTTAGGCCAATACCGAGTATGAATTTCTGAGAAAACGAAGGAGCAGCTTACTCCCATCGCCATTCTATTGAAAATACCGGGAAGCTGCCCTCGTCTTCCGCATGCCTCCTCGTCCGTCGGTCCCCGTCCCTCTGTCCGACTGTACTGTCAGCCCCTCCTCCGCCCAGGTGCCGTGCGTCTTCCTATCTGCTCCCGCTCCGCTCCATTGAGCAGGCGGCCGACTGGAAGTGGTGTGCACCAGGACAAAGGCAGGCGCCCTGCTCCCCGCCGCCACCACCGCCACCGCCCCAACCCCCGCAGCGCCAACGACACTGACCAATGACCAGCCATTTCCATGAGCCGACCCGCCGCGCCGCAGCCTCACTAGGAGGAGGTGTGAAGTTTGGGAGGACGCGTGGAGAGAGAGAGTGAGAGTGAGGGAAAGGCCGACGGATGCGGAAACACTGAGAAAAGAGAGGCGGTGAAAGAAAGAGAGAAATAAAAAGAAGGGAAATGGAAAGAGTGAAGAAGTTTCGGACACTTGCCCAACGTGGAACATGTGAACAGTGGCGCGGCGGCGCGCTCTCGCCTCGTCTGGCGTCGTCGTCGTCGCGGAGGAACTCATTCGTCAGGAGGCGGGAACTATTTATTGTCCTCGTGACGTCACGCGGCCGCGAGCACAACTTGTACGTCGTCGAGTTCCGCCGGGGAAAGAGTAGTAGTGGTGAGAAGGGGAGGGTGAG